TTTACTGGATTATTTAGAGTTGTGTTTTTGAAAGGTATCACACTCTTGTGTGTCTATGACAAGGGTACTAGGAAACCTATGGAATAAGAATTTGCTTTTCAGGTATGATGGTCAGTCAGCTGTTGCATTGGGTTCACAGTTGATCATGGTGCAGTCTGCTCTGTAGCACAATAAATAGCATATGGAGGACCTGTGTCTTTTCTGCAGATAAATGAGCATTTATTGCACCAGTATGTAGAACAGTGAAGTTTCTCTTGTGGTGGTTTGGTCACACCTGCTGAGCGATGTGTTTCACACCATGCAGCAGATCTGCAGACATGGGCTTTGTGAGTATTACACCAACCTCAGGAGGTCCCGACTGCAGAGAAGGAGAGCTCCCTCTGTTTGCTGCATAACCTGGCAAGACCCACTGTCTTACTTTAGGCCTTTGGAATCTGGAAAAGAGAAAGAGTAAACAGAAATTGAGGCTTTCTTAAATTTAGGTTAGAATTGATGTTAAAGATGTTTCTTTCAAAATGTTTGAGTGATGGAACAGCTGTTTAAAACTCAATGCTAGATCTTTTCTCCGACTCAGTGTGTAAATACAATTCTGGTTATACCAAGGGAATCAAGAATTGAATCATGCTTTGGTTCTGAAGTCTGCTAAAAATTAAAATGTTTCTACCTGTCACTGAATAACCTATAGCTGTGTGTACAGCTGCAGTGTATGCCCAGTCTCTAGGCCACACTGTTGTGCTCATGCAAATATGGTATTTGCATGGGAAATTATACCTCCATGTGTCTGTAGTATTGTGTGAGTTATTTTTGGTTACTTAAACTGAATGATCAATTTTCTGTTCTGAAACTGATAGCCAGAGTGACGAATATAATTTGAACTACTTAGTCTGAAGCAAGTGGTGACCACTGTCAAAGCTGTCTAACCTGCCCCCAGAGTTTGTCATTGACCTTGATAACCGCAGGTATCCTGTATTAGATAAGGTTTGTCAGTTCAGTTGGGTAGCCCTCCTTTTATTTGTGAAGTGAAAATTGTTGATTCCAGAAACTGTGTGTTGTCCATATGATTTCTTCTCAGCATTGCAAATGCTAATGTTACTAGAACAACTACAATCTGCTTGTCCCTCTTGCAGTTAGATTGTGCAGTAAATGCAATAACTGTTAAAAGAAAACAGAGCTTTAAGCAGAAAAGATTTTGTTTTTGTGAACTGTAAGTGCTCATGTTTATAAAACCATTTTTGTTTTTCTGGCCATTGGCCCCTTAGGCTATATCCTGGGCAATTCTCATGAATGTGCATTAGAGTGTAGATATCTCACAGGGCGAAATCTAATACTCTGAGCACACCCAAAACATGTGCTATTTTCCTGTTGAAAGGTGTGTGCAAATGCAGGGAAATAGGAGCAGAGCTTTTGTACTGTTTAGAGTCAAATGCTGCAAGACTTTGTGAGATCAAGCATAGACAGTGCTGCAGAAGCCCTCTGTGCTGGTGTCACCAGGTGTACTGCTGTCACCAGGTGCAATAGTTCTGGTTAGAGATGAAGGTGAAGGTGTTTCCTCTGTTGCTGCACTTAGCTTTCTCATTCACAATTCCCTCAATTGAAAATTGATGTGGAGGTTAACCAAATGAAGCCAGTACTCCTATGGTGGGCTGGGATGCTTGAGGATATTGTCTTTGCTTATGGCATCATGGTATGGTACCTATGAGATACTAGTTATTTTATGATAAAACTTGAAACATTATGGAGCTGTTGAAGGTAAGGTCTTATTTTCTTAGTATTTCTCACATTTTTCAGAGTAGTCCATAAAGCAGTAATGGAGCCTAGCTGGTTGCAAGACCTTTATGCGCTGTATAAAAGTTAGGCAGCCAGACAGAAGCAGACCAAAGTTCCCACCAGGAGTGGTAAAAATGAATTCCTGGTCTTCATCTTTTTCCTTTAGGAAACAAACTTGAGATGTTTCATATGCTTCTGGCATTGGGCAGCAGAGAAGCTGCTTTCTATCGTATCCGTTGTCTTGGAAAGCTTTTCTCAAAATACCAGAAGCCTGCACTTTTGGCCAGAATCACAGTTCCTGCAGCACTTGTGCCATGTCACCTCCCAAGCTCATCATGATGCCTTTGGCCAGTAACACACACTGGATGAGTACCTTCCCTGGAGAAAACCTGGGACTAATGGTGTCAACTGTATATGTAAGGTGGCAGGTAGCTCCTGAGGTTGAGGTGCCTCCAAGGAGCACCCAGTCCAAGATGGACTTTAGATAGCAAAAATTCTAGAACGTGTAAGTGAAGGAATTGTGGGCCAGAATTAGAGGACCATCCACATGTAACCTTGGTGCTTGCCATCAAGGATGTGCATGTGGTTTCATCTTTACTTGTGGTATGTGGTAGAGATGTCGGACAAATGCACGCGCTGGTGTTAATGCTTATAGTTGCCTGTTCTTTGAGGCCCAGGTTTTGTGTTGCTTCTGACTGCTCACGCAGCAGTTGCTCTAAATGCTACTCGCAAGTGCCCTTCTGGTGTTGTGGCTCCTCTTGATATAGCTGTGTGGTTACAGACTCTCCTTGAGCATGGACCAGAAATGGAATACTAGGCATTTTTCCTTTTCTATCCGGTAAAATTGCCCAAATCTCTGGAAGAGCAACCATGAAAACATTGGTTCGGAAGAGTAATTAGTAAAAATAATATTTTATTCAGAGTGCTGGGCAATCGTCATATTTTTTTCTTCTAATTTACTTTTGTATTTTCAGACTTCTGACACCATACTGTTGCCTGGTTTCACAATATATTAAAGTCTAAGCTGTGGGAAATAAAATCCTTTTATTGGCTATTGCTAGCTACTATTGGAAGAGGAAACTTTTTTTTCGTGTGTACTTTCTGTAGCAGTTTGTAAACACTATAATTCTCCATCTTTCTTCTCTTTTAGCCACATAATCAATGAGCTGATAGAAACTGAACGGGTTTATGTAGAAGAACTTCAAAGTATAATAGAGGTAAGACAAATGCTTCTGTAAAAACTTCTGTTGCTTAACATCTAACTCATCACTGAGTTGCAGGAGCTTTCTGTTAGCAAGATAACTGAGCCCTGGAGATGGAAAGAAAGAAGGTTGTTTTGAACATCCTGCCTCAGAGTTTAGAGGAAGAAGCTCCTTCTGACCCCAGGCCACAGAATGATGAAGTTCACAGGGATCTCAAAGTTTTGGGCAGAGGAATAGCTGGCAATTTGCCCTTTCAAAATATCATCAGTAGGGTTCAGAAAGAACACCTTTGATTTCCATAAATTTTTACAAATGTAGCTTCAGAGAATGATTGAGAAGAGGGAAGGCCTTCTTCCTCACTTGTTTATGGTCACTGTGACTATAACCCCTGAGCTTTCAAAGCTCTTGCGATATCAGGTCACTGTGTGTGTACAGAGCTCGAGGGCTTCCGGCTGTGGGGAGACAGGGGTTGAGGAAGGATTGGTCATGCTGGTATTTGGGTAGGGTTTGAAGGGCTGGGTAGTTTCTTTTCACACCCTTGTGGTTGCTTCATTACTGGACTCAGTCTGTGAGAGCTGACAGATCTAACTATTGATATATTACTCTGACCTTTAAAATCTGAACTCAGAATCTTCTTCTCTCAACATTTGTATTAAAGAAATACAACCCAGTTTCTACCAGAAACAACCAAATAATCAAACCAGATACCACAGCTCAATAAGTAAATCCCAATAACCCTTCTGCAATGAAACAGTGTAGCAGAAGGATTAAGTGTCTATCAAACTTAGCAGTTTCCATCCCTCCACAGCCAAAATGGCTTTTGACTTCTAGGGACATCATTTCATCTTTTGTCGATCCAGCAGTCTGTTCATTTATGGTTAAAACTATTTGCACAACTAACGGGGTAAAAGCCCCGGGGAGAACTGGAATCACCAGAAATTGATGGGACCAACAAAGAAGCTGGCATAGGAGAAGCCTTTGTACACTAGCTCTGTTTGAGAACAAAAAGTACAGAGGCTTGGGGGGGTTTCAGTGTCTCAAATGCTGTATTTCTTCCCTGGTAAAAATAGCCTGGTTTTGTTTTCCACTCTCCTCCACAGGGGTATGCTTCAGAAATGGATAATCCCAATTTAGTGCATCTGATCCCATCCGCGCTTCAGAACAAGAAGGATGTGCTTTTTGGGAACCTCCCAGAAATCTATGAATTCCACAACAGGCACGTGCTAACCGTCATGTCTCCTTCCTCCCTCCTGTGCTCCCGTCCTCTCCCTTTACATAGAATACTTTGTCATGCTTGCCCGTACACAGGCAGTCAACCTCTTGTTGCCTGCATGCACACAGCCTATAAAACCCAGCTGCAGAGGATCCCCCCCGAGATCATCTGTTTCAACTCTTTGTCTGTGAATGATTAAACCCTTTTGTGCATTTGCTACTGATTTCCCCTGGCATCATTAATTTGGAATGTCCCTAGTGGCGAGTATTTTACTGCCTCCCCTGATATGCTGGTAAATGTCACAGAACTAAATACTGATGTTCTTTCTCTGGCAAAACTTCTCTGCAAGGAAGTTTTTCTAGTGTTCGTCTTTTTTTGTCCTGTGTTTTTGCTCTCCTATCACCAGAAGATAGTTTAGATCACGCTTTTCATAAGGAATTTTGTCCTTCTGGTGATCATAAACCCTTTCAGAAACCTTGTCCACACTGCAGCCATGTGTCAGTAATTGTACAGCTGAGCTCAGAACTATAGAACACCAACTGTGGGCAAGATTAAGCAAGACTATACCCCTGCTGAAATACAAAGCTTAGGGCAATTTCTGTTCTTTTCTCTCTGAATTAAATCAATTAATTAAATTAAAACTGTCTGTAGCCAAGGTGAGAATCTAAAAATTCCTTTGGGTAATGACAGCATGTGAAATATAACAAGTAGTTGAACATAATAGGGGGGGAAAAAAGTTATTTTGCAAGTTTAAATTTTATACCAGAGTACTGTACTCAATACATGACAGAAAAATCTCCTCCCATTTACCGATCATTATAAAAACTTGTCTCTTCATTTTGAGGAGACATTCCCCTCCTTTTAGAAGCCTGGCCTTTCTTTCCCTGGGTGCTTGGCGCATTGGCCGCCCCTCACTGCAGATGCCTTTGGAGTTTGCATCCTACATTTTCACTCCTTGCTGATTAAGCGACTGCATCTGACAGAGCTTTTCTGTCTTTTCCAGCTGTTCTGAAAAATCCTCTGAACCAAAAAGTAGGCAAGTGTTAGGGCTACATGTTGGACATAAATCTCAGCAGCCAAAGGGATAAGATGCATCAGATGCTTGAGAGCAAATGAAAACCTTGTAATACTGGTGATTCAGGCTGTGAACTGCATCCCAGATTTCTAAAATAATGTATTTCTTTAGATGTCAGGATTGTTACCTTGCCCCCATCCTCTTACAGCAGAATTGTGGCTTTCAATCTAGAGTTGCATGGAAGCTAGCACACAGCGTGAATGTGACATTCCTTTATTGTTTGCTTTCCTTTCTTCCTCAGGATTTTCCTTAAGGAGCTGGAAAATTGCATTGAAAATCCCGAGCTTCTTGCCCGATGCTTTTTGAAAAGAGTAAGTAAATTCTTTTGTGGGTTTGTATGAGTATCTGTAGTGTTATCCTACAGTGCT